AAAGAATCTCAAAAATCTGATACTGGTGGCCATGGTGCTAGTATTACAATAACTGGTGTAGATAACAGCATATTTATATTAATTTAACACAATTTCCTGAAAATAGTTCTTATTTTTGCAGACCCTCACCATGTGGGGGCGCCATTTCCCCTTATACAGGGAAGTACAGTATGACCTTCTGTGTTTATGAAGACACTTCCACACTCCCCCAGAGAGATAAACAAGTGCATCCATCTGAGCTTCATATAAATCAGCTTCCCCTAAACATGCAGGCTTTACCCACAGCTGAATGACAATAGGAGGCCAAATACTTTTAATGGCTTTATTTTCATGCAAGATCACGCTTCCTGGTGATCGATTTATTGATAATTATATGAAGTTTATATTATACTTGAATGCTTCTGTATTTTGTAAGTTTCTAAATACTTTTATATACTGTGTATATCAGAATATAGTGTTGTATTTAAGTTTTGTGTAAATGCAGGTGCACAGTGTAATACTGAACTCACTCAGCCAGAATCTATGACTCCAAACAGGGGTGCATTGGGGATATTGATGCCCTGGCAGATTTAGGGGGTCCTCAGTATGTAAAACTATAAATGAAATTGGGTTGGGGGGCAAGGTGACGCTTACTCTGATTGTAAAACTTTTTCCTGACCATCTCCTGTAAAGTCTCTGCATACTCAGTGACTGATAGCAGCTATTGCACAGACTGGCTTCAGCTAATTTAAAGATCCGACCATCTGCATGAATCATGTAAAAATATGCTCCTGATTAAAAGAATTATATAAATGTAACTTAATTCAGCTTAAATTGAGTGAAATTGAATTGAATTGAATTGATCTGGAGCAAATTTCATACTGCTAAAGAGCCTTTTCAAGGCTATTAGAAATTAAGAAAGAGAACACATTAAACTTGCACAATAGTACAATACTAACAAAAATAAATCTGAATTGTATTTTTAGATCCCATTTATTTTAAAATGTGACTCATACTGAGGTCAGAGGTGCACTGTTTTTCATTTGGATTCTAGAAAAGTGTGATTCTGACTTGTCGACTGCATTGCATAAAAAGTCTGAATGTACAATGCTTTACAAAGTAAATGAATCTGTTTTGCATGTGACCATTTTTGCTCCATTAACCACCCCCATACCCAGAGCAGTATTCAGTGCAAACCTGTCATAGCTTTTAAAGGAGCCAGCGTCAGTGTGTGACAGAGAGCAGCAGTCACTGGGACTCAGTGTGTACTTTACCTCAGTGCTCCTCCCTCTGTCCTGCAGCCATGAAGCTCCTACCA